CTAAATAAGAATCAAAATTAAAGATGCTGTGTATGTCTCTGTCGTCGTCCTATGTGAGTAGCAGATCCACTCGCCTAGCTCATACCCTTTTGGCCCCATGCCTCCGAAAAAAGACAAAGCGGCTGTGCAGCCCAAGAGACGCTCCTCCAAAGCCTCTGTTGAAGTCGTCGACGCCGGACCTTCTGTCGCTGTGCCAAGCGGTATGATCCCAAGTCGGTTCGAATCAGCTTAAATACTAAGTGTGCTTTTTAGGGTTGAGGGGTTTAGGGTAGTATAGGGTCTAAAGTGGCAGTACTCTAGTTTGTTTTTCTGTGGGATCTGTTCCACCTAAGGTGCTTCTTGGAATGCTGAAATCATATCCCAATACAATGAGGCTTTGAAGGCGATCAAAGATTTTTGGCCTGGGATTGAAAATGAGGCCCCTTCCAAGATGGGTGATGGAGGGGCACAGGTGTCTTCTTTGCATCTTCATTTCAATGTCAATCTCCAAAGCTGCTGGGTCGTCTGTTTTACAAAAGACATCTAAGGCTCCCTTCGATGGCAAATCTGCCAAATCAGCACTTGGATCCTTCATGGAGGAGTATGTCTGTGCCAACAACTTCTTCAAGTGCGAACTCGAGTTCAATGTTGATCCGAATGTGCCTGGGGTTCATAAGTTTGCAGATTCAGCTGTGGGCTGTCTCATGTAATAAGGTTCCCATCCGGGCCAGTATGGTGGAGGAGATAAAGTCCTACTACTACAAAGATGCGGCACTCTTCGCCGAGCCTTTCGAAGTTTCTGTGCCCTCGGCCTGGCTGGATAATATGTCCAAGCTGGACATGGTCAAGCCGATCGTTTCGATCGAGCATCGGATTGCCTTCGTGCTGCCACTTGGCTGTTGTCCCTAGATTCAGGTGTCTAGCAAGCATAATGACAAATCAGGGCAATCCGCCGCGACTTCGAGAAGCCAGACACAATGGAAACGTGGCGCCATGCTCTGCGCAACGTGGGGTACACCTACAAATTGACGAAGGAAGACGAGGTCTTCTGGATGTCAATCAACAGTCGACAAGACAAGATCAAGAAATCCCAGACGATGTCTTTGACGTGCATCCAGCGGATCTTCTCCGTCTTAAATCACAAAGCGCGCCACGAGAGGACACATGGAGAGATCAGCCACTGGGACCCAAGGTGTGTTGTATCACATTAAACTTCTTCTTGTGCCCGTGATTTCCGAGGTGTCGAAAATTTCTGTGTGCTCTACGAGCAGAAGTTCAGGCATGCCAATGAATCCGAGAAGGCTAGCTTTGACGTCTTGTTTCAAACGCCGGTCTCAATCTAAAGCCAATTTGGATAGGTGAGTGACACCTTCCTGGACACGGCCGTGACTGTGGGCAGAAGAGTGAATGGGATGCCAACTTAGACCCCAAACCTGCTTTTACTTTCTGATCATTGAACATTGAACAACTAAGTTCATTTATACCTTATGGTCCTGGGAGTGTGAAGCTTCACTCAAGAGCTAACAATTAGTTGTGACGAGCTTTACATAGGGTTTTGGGATTGTGGGGTTGATCGTTGGGGATTTGGGGTTTAGAAATTTAAAGGGTTAGTATAAATTATTTGGTGCTGTTTTGGGATTGTGGGGTTGAGCCTTGGGGATTTGGGGTTTAGGGCTTTAGGGTATTTGGGATTGTTATTCAATCCATCGGTTAGTTTTTCAACAGTGCAAATTTAATCTAAGCCTAAGTTAATTTAAGGGNNCCCAAACAAACCCTAAGCTCTAAACCGTGGCTCTGCTCGAACAAACCTTTACTGGCTTCCTGAACCCCCGCCCCCGCCATATTTATTGGCAGTCATCTCAAAACCCTACAACCACAGGAACTTGAAAGAGTCTGAAGTTTTTCATAAGCCGAAGCTACCCAGTGATGTCCACCCCTCTATTTGCCCAGGTGCTTCGAGATGCCCAGCTCGTGAACCTGCTGCTGCAAGCAGACGAGCATGCTGGAAGTCCATTCAACGATTACTCAAAGCTTCAAGTTCTTGTGAGCAAGGGCAAGACGCAAGAGGGGATTCGATGGGTGTTCAATGCCATGCCGCTCGATAAATTTATATTAATCATAGTCATCAGAATCAATCAGGTCAAGGATTCGGATTCCTCAGCTTGTGTTTATTCCGAGGTGGGATGGATACTTCTATGGCTGGCTGAAGCAGGAATTTCTTACAAAGAGAGCCCTCGAGGGAACTTCCTGGCCGGGTGGCACGGCTGCGATGATGATCGGCATGATGGAGCTGAAGAATCTTCTGCTCGGCACATGCTGTG